CGACGACAACCGACGCCGACGAGGAACGACGACGACGAACGAGGACGACGATTACGACGACGAGATGACGAAGGATCGAAGATCGAACCTCGAAGTGCGAAGCTTCGAAATTCAAACTTCGATCTTCGAACTCCGAACTTCCAGCTTCTAACTGCGAACGTCGCTGGGGTGCCAGGGATGGACTGGGATGGAGGGAAAATGGGAAGGAAAAGCGAGGAAGCGGGAGAGGAAGTTGGAGGAGAACGAACAGGCGTGGAGCGACGAGGAACGGGCGGCGAGGAGCCGACGTTGAGGGCGGCGGGATGGGGGGACAGGGAGGAGAGGGGAGACTTCAAAACGAAAATCGCGCCACGGCGCCTGCGCGCGCGCTCCCGATCTCGGCGGCCGACGCGCGCGCCCCTGCAGAAATGCAACGCGCCCTTAATTCGAGCCCCGCTGCTGCGGAACCACCTACTCCACAACCAAATCGTCTGGGGAGCTGTTCGGACCCCAAACTACTAATTAGTTCTTCAGCCACTCGGCTCTTGCGAGTCCGCCCTCATGACAAAGGGCAACCTTCACATGGGGACACTCAATGGGGTGTTGATTGAGAACGCCCCATGTGGCTGGTGGCAGGAACGGACGAGGGGGGGCGGATAGAGGAGCAGGACGAGCACTGGCAGGGGATATGCACCAGGAGAGAGATCTCATGGAGGAAGAGGAGGGGAGGGGACGAGAGCCACTCATAATTAAGCGCACGCAGGCCCACGCACGTGCTCCATTTCTCAGCGACCGCCGCGCCGCCATGAGAACTGTCGTACCACCGCCGCTAATGCGGCGGATGCGTGACCTCTCCCACCCCTGCCCTGCGCTGTTTCTGCTACCGCCCTCCCCCCTTCCAGCCAAGCTCGGGTTTCATGCTCGGAGACGGGCGCGGCTGGCGGCTCTTAGCGCGGGTGCGCGTGCTGCCTCCAACTCCTCATCCCCCCCCTCCTCCCCTCCTCATCCCCCCTCCTCTTCCTCCTCGTCCTCCTCTATCGGCCCAGCTCCGATCGCCGCCCAGCTCTCCTGGTGCGGCTGGCGGCAAAAGTACCGAATATTGCCTGGGATGTCCTTCACCTTCTTCTTCGACATCTCAAGCATCATCTTGCCCATCTCCTCGGTGCGGCGCGCCTCCTCCATCATCTGCCGCGCCTGGTCGACGAGCATCTGGCCCTTCACTCCAACGGCGCGTGCATGGCGGCAACGATTGCGCCACTGGAGAAACCGCACCACCATGGTCGCCCAGTGCCAAACACTGCCCTCCGTCGTGATGAGCTCGAAGTCATCGACGTCGTACTTGCCCGCGATGCTCGCCATAGCGGCGCACAAACCGCGAAGGAGCCTCCTCTGGCAGTCCCCGCTGCTGCGGAGACTTCGGCAGAGGCTCCTGCGCGGCTCCAGTCGCGGAGGCGGGCGGGCGCGGCGGGGGGCAGACCTGCAACGGCTGCGGCTTCACTTTATCGCATTTCCATCCCTCCCTGCACTCACATGGCTTTTCCCATTGCGCCAGTCTGCTGCTCCCACTTCTGAACTACCTCATCCCTTCTACCTCCATCTGCACCCTCCTCTTCCTGTTCAATCCTCCCTCCTCCCTCCACCGTGCTCATTTCTCCTTACTCCCTTCTCTGCTCCTCCTACGTGGGGCGTTTCACGACAACGACGACGACGATGACCACGACGACGACAACGAGGGCGACGACGACCACGACGACGACGACGAGGACGATGACCACGACGGCGACCAGCGACGGCGACTAGCGACGACAACGACCGACGACGACGACGCCGACCACGACGACGACGGCGACGACGACAACGAGCGACGACGACAACGACAATCGACGCCGACGAGGAACGACGACGACGAACGAGGACGACGATTACGACGACGAGATGACGAAGGTTCGAAGATCGAACCTCGAAGTGCGAAGCTTCGAAATTCAAACTGCAACCTTCGAACTCCGAACTTCAAACTTCGAACTGCGAACTTCGCTGGGGTGCCAGGGATGCAATGGGATGGAGGGAAAAATGGGAAGGAGAGAACGAGGAAGCGGGAGAGGAAATTGGAGGAGAACGAACAGGCGTGGAGCGACGAGGAACGGGCGGCGAGGAGCCGACGTTGAGGGCGGCGGGATGGGGGGACAGGGAGGAGAGGGAAGACTTCTTTACGAAGATCGCGCCACGGCGCCTGCACGAGCGCCCCCGATCTCGGCGGCCGACGCGCGCGCCCCTGCAGAAATGCAACGCGCCCTTCATTCGAGCCCCGCTGCTGCTGCGGAGCCATCTACTCCGAAACCAAATCGTCTGGGGAGTTATTCGGTCCCAAAACTACTGTTTGCCACCCGCTGCTGCGGACGCCGAGGGCCTGGTGCTGGACGCCGCGGCCCCGCTGCTGCGGGGCCCCTGAGAGGGCGTCGGCCTCCCCTTCTCTCTGGCGGCGTCGAACTTGACCTTACGCTCCACACCGAGGTCCTTGTACCAGCGAAAAGTTCCTGACCCGTCGCTCCCGCCCAAACCCGCGGTTGGTGGCCTCACCGTGTCCGCGTGGGGGACGAGGGGCAGAGCTTCGACCTTCCTGTCGCCCCAGTGCGGGTGTAAACGGACGCCTGTCCCGTCGTCGCGGTGCAACACGAAATCCCACATCGGCAGCTTCACTTTCACCCGCTGCCCCGCGAACTGTCGCGCGCGCACAATACTCTGACGCATGTGGTCGTAGCTGTTTGGCCGGACTTCGAGGGGGCAGCCGATCAGAGCCCCGCTGCTGCGGGGCCCCTCCACGACCTCCCTGATATCTTCCTCCCTGAGCGTCGCCGCCATCTCTTGCCACCGCCAAGGGACTTCCTCGTCGCTTTTGAAACCAAAGCTCGTCCTCGCACCGTGGTCGCAAACAGCGACCATGGTGGGCTTCGCATTGTCGAACCACTTGGCTTCTGACTCGAACGGGGCAGTTGGGTCTTCATTCAGATGGCGCCACCATTTCAACGCTTGATTGCGTTGCTTAAACGAAGTGCCGAGCCTCTCTTCATAACTCAAAAAATAATTAACATCAAACTTCTCAAAATCCTGGGGCCCGCGCGCCGCCGCCGCTGCGGTGGCGCGGGGCTCCTGCGCCGCAGGCGCGGCTCGGGATCCCGACCCCTCTCCTGAAACTGTGTTCCCAAGTTCTGGTACGTTTCGGAGGGCAGCCCTCACGAAATTATCGAATTCGGGCTTGCCGAGACCAGGGGCGCGGGGGCTCACAACGCTAAGCGCGGCGAAGCGAGACGGCCGTTGAGACGAGACCGCCGCCGCTGCTGCGGCGGCAGGGCCATCGCGCCATTTGGCGTCCTCCGTTGGCGTGCGCCCGTCTTGTCGCCAGTCTCTCCAACCCCTCGCTGACCAATCATGGCCGTCCTCCCAGCCACGCCAGCCGCTGCTGCGGCTATCCCACCATCCTCCCGCGCCATCCCATGTGTATCCGCCTGCATCGCCCATTGCAAGACGATGGCGCAGGCGCGCGTTAGGCCGCGACGGGCCCAGCTGCACCGGTGCTCGCGGGCGATCCCACGGGCGCGGGGTGGTTTGAGCATAGCGGCGGCGGACGACGCGACGTGATTGGACGGCGGAGAACTTGAAAGGAAGGGGGGTTGGAAACGAATGAACGAAGTGGACGAAGAGCGGAAATCGAACCAGAGGGAGGCGAAAAAAGAGCGGAAAAGAATAAGGACATGCAGACGAAGGAGAGTGACGAGGTAGATGGCGGGCCAGAACGGCAACGGAGGATAATGTGGTGGAAATTGTGAAAAGGACGCATGGAACAACACGACGAGGATCACAGACGCAAAGATGATGAGCGCAGTGGTAGCATGACATATCCGAAATCAAGAAGCAGGATGAGGAGGAACGGGATGACGAGCAACTCTGTCGCAGAGAGCCTCCGAACGCACCCCCTCTGTCACAGAGGGCCTCCGAACGCACCCCCTCTGTCACAGAGGGGGTCCGAAAAAACACCCCCTCTGTCACAGAGGGGGGAAATGATCACTTTAATGCGGCTTCTGGATTAAGGAAAACCTGAAGCAAGGTGCGAAACACTTCAGGAACGCGGAGCCCCTCCCCAACGAAAAGGGTTCCTTCTTCAGGGCCCCGATTGTATAGGCAAGCCAAGACGCCCCACCACTGCTTGACCCGTTGGGGCCGGCGGCAGGGCGCCCGCCTCTCGGCACGGAACGCCCACGCGGCGCGCACGGCCGCAAAAACGAGGCGGGAACCCTCGGCAGACCCCGCCGGCGCCGCGGGCGCTCACGCGGCGGCCGCAGCCACCCGGCAGGCGAGAAACCTCGGCAGGCCCCGCCGGCACACGAGGCGCCCACGAGGCGCCCACGGGGCGCCCAGGAATGTGCACCAAATCGACATCGAGGCGGTCCCCCTCCTCCTCCTCCTCCTCCTCCTCCTCCTCCTCCTCCTCCTCCTCCTCCCCCTCCTACCATGCTGCATCGGCACGCAATCGACATCGAGCCGCACTGGCCGCGCCCGGACAACAAGCGCCCGTGCACCAAACCGTGGGGCCATCGGGGGCGAGCCGGATCGGGCCGGCCAAATGCTCGGACGGGGGCGATCGGGTCCAACCTGACCTTGCCGTCGGTCGGACGTCCATTTCCCGTGCATTGTTCGGTTTCGTGCGTGTGTTTTTTGTTGCTCGATGGTCCAGGATGGTCCTCGATGGTCCTCGCCGAGGAAAAAAGTGCACACGTCCGAGCGATGCCAGGCGACTCTCGATGTTGAAGGGCCGGCCTCCTGGGCCAGACCCGAGCGCAGGAGAAGGCACGAACCCGCCCGGCGCCGACGATAACCTCCACCTCGACGCCCATGCCGACTTCGAAGATGACCGACGGCAGCGACGAGCTTGACGACGACGACGCTGACGACGACGAGGCACCAGCCCCCGCGCCGAAGCGTGCCGCCCGCGCGCCCCTCGGGGCAGGCCCCGCCCGCGCGCGTGCCTTCTTCGGCGAGCGGGGGTTGCCGCCGACCACCGTCGAGAAGCCCGGGTCCGAGGCATGCTGACCTGGCCCGCGGCCGCGGCGGAGGCGGATCTAGGGCCCGGTTACAGTCGGACCTAGGCTTAGGTCGGGCATGTCCTCCAACAGGCGGATCCCAAAAGAAAAACTAAAAATTGTCAGAACAAGTTGAAAACTAGTCAAAAATAGTTGAGAATCGTCCCCAGACTATTTGTGACTATCTTTGAATATTCGTCCTGTAACGGGACATGTCCGACTTCAACCTAAGCCAGAAGAGCATCGCTCAGGAACATGAGATCACCCGTCGGCCAAGACATACAGAACATCCGAGGTTACCTTCGCCGAACCGACCTCGATCTCACACCTCGGTACGACTGCAAGATCGGACCAGGACAGATCCGGGATCGGGAGGGAGCAAGAGAATCAACGACACGCTGCTGTTAGTAGCCCCTGCGCCCAAGGGCGTCTTGACGGCAAGGGCCCCCTCTTGTCGAGCAGCCCACTCGGGCGACAGAGAAGACGGGGCCCTGAGGCACGAGGGCGCGGCGACTACCGGTCGCGGTGGCTTGCGCAGGCCGGTGACGCGTGGCACACCGCGTGACCATGAGGGGGGGCACTGACGCGCGAGACATTTGGGCCAGTCGGGACGGACAACGAGGATCTAACACGCGCCGCCGCTGGTAGCCCGTCAGCGTGTTACCCCTTCGTTATGTCCGGAGCCACGGCGTTTCTGAAAACGGTAACACGCTGATGGGTTCCCACGGAGGGGTGTCATTGATACTGCTTTTCGTTCCCCGGTCGGCGGCGCGCCCAGGGGGGAATGAGGAGGGGCGGACCTTCTCAGAAGGCCCGGAAGTCCCGCGGCCTTCTGAGCAAATGAATTTCTAAGCCCTCCCCGACGACACCAGAAAACTTCTCAGAAGACGCGAGGGTATCTGAGAAGTCCCGCCGCCTTCTGAGAAGCCCTTCTCCTTCTCATCTCCCCCCATCCGGTTCCGACGCCGTTTTTTACCGGTTCCGTCGCCGTTTTCGACCGGTTCCGGCTCCGGTTCCGATCCTGGGGACGTTTTTGTGCCGCTTCCGGTCGCCATTTTTCTGCCGTTTCCATTCTCAACGGACATTTTTGGGGACACGGTGGAAAAACGGCCCTGCCGCTTCCGTTCGCTCGTTCGTTCGTTCGCAAGCCATGTCGCACGACACATCGGCTCAGCAGGGGAGAAATCCTTGCCGCGCAGGATACAAGCGGCAATCGTATATATTACACCTAAGCAAATATGGGGTCAATGGAGAGGCCAGCATGATTAGACCCGATGGGGGGTCTTCGCACGAGGGCCAGCACGATTAGACCCGATGGGGGGGGGGCCAGGACCAGGCAGCAGTCGGCCCAGGGTGGGGCCCGACGAGGAGGAGCAGGAGGAGGAGGAGGAGGAGGAGGAGGAGGAGGAGGAGGAGGAGGAGGGGGGAGGAGGAGGAGGAGGAGGAGGAGGAGGAGGAGGAGGAGGAGGAGGAGGAGGAGGAGGAGGAGGAGGAGGAGGGAGGAGGAGGAGGAGGGGGGGGAGCAGGCCGGGCCAGGGGTCTCCACCCAGGGATGCGCCAGCGACCGAAGCCGCCCAGTCGCGGTCGTGAAGCGCTCGCGCCTGCGACTGAAGGGGCCCCAGGACACACAAATAAATACACAAATAAAAGAATCCCCCATATTTTCTCATATTTTCTAGGTTTCTGTCTCCCCCCCACTTCCCATATTTTCCCATATTTTCTGGGGATCGCCGATGAATTGTGTCTGTGTGTTTTTTCCCCTCCTGAGTGACGCTTGTTGTTTCTGCTTCAGTCGGGTCTCCGCGCCGCCGTCCTTCTTGCAGTTGTTCCAAAGATTTGCCGCTCGCGCACTCTTCTGCCCACGCGTCCTGCTGGACGCTCGGCTCCGTGGTGGTGGTGGTGGTGGTGGTGGTGGTGGTTGGCGGTATCTTTTGATCGCGAGCGCGCAGGTGCGCCAGGCGCCGTCAGAGCGAAGCAACATAGCCGAGAACGAAATTGGGCCCCAAGCGCAGAAGCGAACTGCGCCGCGGATCGGCAGGCGAGGAGGACGGCAGCGGGGCGCGCGGAGGCGACACGCGCAGCCCCAGCAGCCGAGCCCCAGCTGGCCCAGTGGCATCGCGCAGGAGGCGGCGGGGGGGGCAGAGGGGACCGGCGGCGGCGCGGGGGCGGTCAACGGGGGTGTTGGGCGCCCGAGTTATCCGGGATAACTCGGGTCCGGGGTAACTCGGGTTTGGATTCCCGAGAAAGGAACCCGAGTTATCCCTGACCCGAGTTACCCCTGATGATTCGGGGCTCTGGACGCCCGAGCTATCCGGGGTAACTCGGGTCCGGGGTAACTCGGGTTTGGGTTCCCGAAAAACGAACCCGAGTTAGCCCTGACCCGAGTTACCCCTGATGATTCGGGGCTCTGAGGGTGGGCGACCTGGCGCCGAGGGCGCAGCGTCGCGAGGGGCCCGAGGGAGCCAGCAGGCGACCAGGGGAGCCGGCACCCCCCCAGGGCGCCTGCGGAGGGGTATATCAGGCACGGGGCCGCCGCGGCCGCGAGGGGTGGCCGCGGCAGGGGGGGGGGGGAGGAGGGAGGAGGGGGGAGGAGGAGGAGGAGCAGGAGGAGCAGGAGGAGGAGGAGGAGGAGCAGGAGGAGCAGGAGGAGGAGGGAGGAGAGAGGAGGGAGGAGGGAGGATGGAGGAGGGCGGCGGCTGACAGCTGCATGGTCGGGTGCGGGAGGGGACGGAGGCGGCTGACAGCCGCGGTTCACGTAGACGGTGAGTGCAGGGGAAGGTGGGCGAGCAACGACATATGTACATGTACGCCCTCAGCGGTGTTACCTGCACGAACGTCCGCGTTGACACGCACTCCAGGGGAAACTCACCGCGTACGTGTACATATGTTGCTGGCCTCTGAGAAGGGAGTCGGTGGGAAGCGGCTGACAGCCGCAAAGCAGAATGGGCGCGCGCGGTGGGGAAGGGAAGCAAGTCGGTGGGAAACGACTGACAGTCGCAGAATAGCAAAGATGTGACCAGTGGCCAGGGGAGAGGGGCGCGACTGACAGTCGCGAGGTGTGGATGTGCAGTGAGCTAAGTCGGGGCGGCCAGGTGCGTCGCCGCAAAAGTACTAGCAGCACGGGTCACTCCGCGGAGGAGGGGACCTGAGCCCCGGGGCAGCGCCCAGGGCGGGCCTGGGGAGGGCGGCAGTCGACCAGGAGGCGAGAGGCCGCAAAGGGCGGCCCAGGAGCAAGAGTCTCCTGGGGGGGCCAAGGGCGAGCCAGCACCCCAGCTGGGCGTGCCCGAGGCGGTGGTAGGCGCGAAGCGAAGGGGCCCCGCATGGGGCTGGGCCCGGCGGAGGAAGGCCAGCCGTGGGGTGTCTGGGTCGGCTTCACCGCAGGGTGGCACTCGGTGGTTGGCGCCCGGCGGGTGCAGCAGCGACAGCGGAGCGGTGAGGGAGTCCTCCGTCGGAGCAGCTGGAACGTGCCCTGGGACAGGAGCCCGCTGTCGAGGAAGGGGCCCGTGAGGGCAGGGGTGAGTGGGCTGGTGGGAGCTCGTGGCCCGTCTGGAGTCCCCTGCGCTGGCCCGACGAGAGGCTCCGTCCTCCCATCGCCCCTTGCCTTTGCCTTTGATCGGGGCGCCTTTACCCTGAGTCCGGCCAGCGAACTTGTCGCGGACAACCTTCCAGTCGACCTGGAGCTGCAGAGCCTCGTCCATCTCCATGGGGTGGTAGTTGTGGTGATGCCACGCCCAGAGGAAGTGCTCACAGGACCCGAGTTCCTGCCTGGTGGTGTCTGCGCAGACGTAGCCGGTTCTGGTGGGGTTCTTGTGCGTCCACTGGTGCCAAATCCCGCTGAAGTAATCCCCGAGCTCCTTCTGAAGGCGTTTGACTGTCTCGGCGTGGTCCTCGCCGCGAAGGGGGGAGACCTGGACCCGCTCCAGCGGGGTGTTGTACATGTATTGGCCTGTGTGGGGGTCGTTCAGGTCCTGCGAGGGGTCGGAGTGAGCGTCTGCAAAGGCGGGCCAGGGGGCCGACCGAGCGTCTGCGTAAGGGGATGTCCGTGCGTGAGGGGTACGATTCCACCGCTCAAATAATAGGGGTACGAATTCACCGTGCGTGAGGGGTACGGTTCCACGTGGTAAGGGGTAGGGGGGATACGCGAAGCGTCAAGAATTTTCACCAGGGATATAGTCAACCCGTAGAATAAGGATGCGCGGTAAGGATGCAAGGGCCTTGGAGGGCCATGTTAACTAGCGTTGTTTTTCGAACGAGGTAGACCAGCAAGAGTCGCCAAGGATGGGCCGAAGGGGCAAGGATGCAAGGGTACCCTTGGGCAGGTTGCAAGTCCTTACCATGCGGGTTGACTGTACATCAGCCGCCTATGCCGAACGTAAACTGCCAGGAGATGCTGCCGAAGCGTGGCACGTCACCAAAGCGGGACCCCCTGACGCCGCTCCCTTCCCTTCCAGAACCCGACTCGAAGCTGGACTTGGACACGAAGCATCAAAAGCACGAGAAGACAAAGAAGTGACCCCAACGGGGGTCCGCGCGAGTCCAAAACCAACTTTGGATCTGGGTAGGAGGCAGAAAAGACACGCACACATATATACACACACACGCACACACACACACACACGGCCAGGCACAAACAGGGTCAGGTCCTTTGCCGCTGTACGGTCCCTGTCCTCCTCCTCGCTGCAGGATGCGAGTATACACAAGCAAGCGAGCACGCATGATGTGCATCCGCACAAAAGTGCATCAGCACCAACACGGGAGTCGACTGCGTAAACTTGGACGAAGCTGGGGTCCAGTGAGCGGAGTGATGACGTCAAGTATGAGCTCGATAATAGCATGCAAATGCAACTACCCGATCGGAAGCGGTGGTGCTGGCATGCTCCACGTTCTACCTACGATGCCTGTAAGAGATACCACAATCAAGCACACGTGACATCACGTGCAGAGATAAGATGATGAGGAAGAGGACCAGGAGAAAGGACAAGGTGGTGGTTCGGCGGTGGACAAACCTCCCTTTAGTAAACCTCCCTTTAGTGAAAACAGCCTAGGACCGAAACCGACAGACCTGGACCCGAAGAAATGACGGCCGCGACGCCCTCTCGCGAACCGAGAACGGCCAATTCGCTAATCGACGTGCCAGGGCAGGAGGTCTATCAACCTCCGAGTGCTGGGCGCGGTGAAGCTCCGCTGCGGCCAAAAGAAGATGCTGGGATGCGCTCCCACCTGCTGGGCCTCGGGGCGCCGGCGATCGGTGGTGCCGCTCGGCACCCGTCGGCGCACGGCGGCACTCTGCAGAGAGCCGACGAGCTGTTTTGAAAGCGTGCGGGGACGGGGCCGAAGAGGACAGGCCGGCAGTAGCGGACACGAGCAGGCGGCGAGCCGGGCTTCCAACTTGGCGCTTCGCGCGGCGCGAAGCGCGAAGTGCGAATCACTTCGCACTCTCGCGCCACCTCCCAGGGGGGCAGAGGAGGATGAGGAGGAATCGGAGCCGAAGCGCGAAGCGCGAAGCGCGAATCACCTCGCGCCCTCGAGGGCGCCCGTGCCTCCTCCTCCTCCTCCTCCTCCTCCTCCTCCTCCTCCTCCTCCTCCTCCTCCTCCTCCTCCGCCTGCGAGGGCGCCCTTCAGCAGGAGCCGGTGGAGGCCAGAGGGGCGGACAGACGCCAGCGCGAGCGAGCACGCGCTGGGTCCGCCGGCCGCCGGCACGCCACGGGCAAGGGCACGGGTCCCCGAGCAGGGGACAAAACGGGCGAAATGCCACAGAGAGACTGACGATGGGCCTGTTTTCCACCACCACCACCACAAGTTGGAGGGCGAGGGGGTCCTCCTCCTCCTCCTCCTCCTCTTCCTCCTCCTCCTCCTCCTCCTCCTCCTCCTCCCATTCGTCCTCCTCCTCCACGTCCTCCACCTCATTCCCCCCTCCAACGTATGGCGGTGGTGGAAAACAGGCCCATCAACTTAGGGTCAGCGGGAAAGAGGTGGCAGCACGCCAGCCGTCCCCGACAAGGTGAGGGCCGAACCCAAAGGCATGAGCCGCACTCGAGATGAGGGGCCAACGTGCCTCGGCCTGGATCCCCGGGTCGCCAGCAAGCCGTGGTCCCGTGAACACCTGCAACCGCGAGGCCTCGTGCAAAAGACAAACCAGCGCACTCGAGATCTGTGCCTAGGATGTCCACACTCAAGCGGCACGCCTGGGAATCTAATATCTCACCATCGCTCGGACGTCCATTCCTTGGACGTCCATTCCTTGTGCATGTTTCGGCTTCGTGCGTGTATATTGTTGCAAGATCCCCAACATTCTCCTCGACGGTTCTTGCCGTCAAAAAAAGCACACGTCCAAGCAATGCCAAGACATGCTTCCGTCCCGAAAAGACAAATGAACAACTAGGCTGGAAGAGACCAGGGAGCATGACTACATGGGCGATTGCGAAGAATGCGTTGCTACTGCACGGTCCCCAACTGCCACAGCTGGAAACGGGACCAACGCCGCAGCTCAGAACGAGCTTTTAGCCTTTCATGCCCTTGACCCGTGGCAGGTGCTCAAAATCACCCGCACGCGGTCGAAACATCTGCGGCCATGGCATAGCCACAAGTATCGGATCCTCAATTCCCACTGCGAGCCGACACGCCCACTCCCAGTCTGTCTGCATTCACGGTTGAAGAATCCGATGCGGACGATGCAGAATGTTACGGTCCGTCACCGTGCATTCGGCATGCTGGGGCATGCTCGAACCCCCAGTAACTTTCCGGTAGGGTTACAGGGGCCCAGGGACACACACAAATAAATACACACAAATCCCAGGATGCCCAATGTCGTCCAATATTTTCTGGGTTTTTATCTCCCCCCCCACTTCCCATAGTTTCCCATGTTTTCTGGGGAATCGACGATTCATAGTGTCTGTGCGTTTTTCCCCCTCCTGAAGGGTTTCTGGTAAGGGCGGGCCCTTCAACCGCCTCGCCGCGGTCGCCGCGGATCAGAGCTCGCCCCCACAGCGCCTGAGAGTGACTACTTACCAGATCACCCCAACCCAACCCGAAGCCCCGAATTTCGGGTTTTGGGGGGTATGGGCTCCGTATGTGTTTTTGTCGATGTTCCCCGACCCCCCCCCCACTGGAAATGGACGGCAAATTGAGGCCTTCGGGTTGGGTTGGGGTGGCTTGGTGGGTGGTGAGAAAGACGGACAAACACCACCCCAAGAGAGCTTTAAGACGGCCTTGAGAGCTGACCAGGCGGCCGATAGATTAGCCTGCCGAGTAGTTTCAAGACCCTGCAGATGCTCCGAAATGTGCTCGGGAAGCTTGAGACTGCACGGGCTCCCGTCGGTCGGAAGAAATGGGCAGAAATGTGAAAATAGATCCGGTGTCTGCCCGCCTTCAGAAACGGAGGGAAGAGGAAAAACCACTAGACTCTTGAAGTAGAAAGGTGCCTAAAGTAGATTAGGATCTGGATCC